ACTCTTTCCAACTGTGGTTTATTATCTTGACCCTTTTCTAAGATTTATATGCCTACAGCTTTGCAAGCAATAAAGGGAAGGGGAGTTTGCTCCATTTCTGCAAACATGGGTGTGAGGAGATTTGGGCCCATATCCCACATGTCTGAGCAAGGCTCTTGGGTGAGGGAAGGGAATCAGCATATTCACATCCTTCCCCTGTCTACGAGGCCCTGAGAGACTTTGCGGCAGTTTGAGACTGCTGCAGGAGTTCTTTCCTCTGGAAACCAGTCGGATTCATGTAACCAACATCCTTCACTGGACCAGCTGCTGAAAAACAGAGACACAGAGACTGCAAACACGCGAGCATGAGCCTAGCTCACCAGTCTAGCGGTTGGTGTGTTGCCACTGTAGCTGGAACCTTGGGATTTGGGTTGTGCTCTGCTGAATATTTGCTATCAAATATGGAGCTACTCAGAGGGGCAACTCTTGGGACCGCTTACATTCAGACAGCCCCAGGTCATCACTCAAGATGAAGAACACGTGCTGCAGAAGAACACGAGGACAGCGGCCGGGATGCACATGGGCCTGTTTTCTCTTGTTGCAGAGGGCAGCAGCTCGCAGGCAACTCGGGTTTGGCCATCAGACCACAGGGCTGAAATGCAAGTGAGTGGCTCTGACCTGTGTTTTGGTTGTCTGGTTGATAGGGCAGACCAGCATGAGTCATCCTCCAGAGCTGAAGAGTGGATGACTACAATATTGACATTCAGAGCCTTTTTCATTATTATTTTATAAATAATTATTTTAAAGATTTAGTTCAGACTAATTTTAGCATGCCCCGTGGACTGAACTCCCACTAAGCATTCCTGTGTACCCCAAAGCCTCTCTGTGCTACAAGTTCACAGCCAGTGAGCGATAATGATCCTGATCCCAGCTCAAACACGTCAACGTGCCCAAGCAGACTGACATCCTCTCCTGCCCAATGGAGATCCAGACGCCTCCTGCTTTCAAGCAAAGGACGTAACTGAGCACAGTCACTGCTCCTTGGCCCAGGTACCCAGCTAACCAAGGCCCTGCTCAAGGGGACAGCAGCACCGAGCCCTTGGCCAGCGCAGCCGCTCGCGTCGCTTGTGTCTGTGAGCAGCTGCTGCCTGTCACACGTTTCAGGGCAACAAATTATTGATCATCCGGGGGAAGTGCCCTCAGTGCTGTGGCACGTTCCAGCGGGCGGCCCCCGGCTGCGGGTCCCATGGGCCAGTGGTGGAGCTCAGCAGCCCCAGGGCAGCGCTGGGAGCCTCTCGGGGCAACAACTCTTAGTGCTGGCAGATAAATCAGACCCCGGGTGGTGTCCGCGCCAGGCTGCTGCTGCGGGCGCCGTGAGCGGGAGGCTAAATGCGCCCCGCGCAGCGCCCGCGCAGCACCCGCGCAGCGCCGCGGCCGCTC